AGAGGAGGAGGGGGAGGAAAAGGGAGAAAGAGGAGGAGGGGAGGAGGAAGAAAGGGAGGAGGAGGAAAAAAGAGGAAAAAAAGGAGGAAGAGGAAGAGAAGAAGAGGGAGGAGAAGGAGAAGGGAGGAAGAGGATGAAAAAAGAGGAGGAGGAGGAGAAGGAGAACCCTTTTGTTGCCCCTCCAGTGCCAGGGGGCTGGTGTGACTGGGCGCAGTGGAGTCCCTGTTCCCGGACATGTGGCAGCGAGATGGTGACTCGCTACCGGACTTGCAGCTGCCCCAAGCCCCAGCATGGAGGCCGCGAGTGCGAGGGGGCGCAGGAGTATCACGGAGACAGTGGGGTCCAGCTGCAGAGAAGAGCGTGTCTTGTGACCAGTTTCTGCCCAGGTGAGAGCCTTAAAACGGGGGCTCTATATCTATTATATCTATCTATCTATCTATCTATCTATCTATCTATCTATCTATCTATCTATCTATCTATCTATCTATCTATCTATCTCTATTTCTATCAATCTACATATCCATCAATCTCCTATCTCAATCTATTTATCTATCATCTATCTCTAACTACCTATCTATCTATCTATATCTGTCTATATTTCTTTATATCTATCTATATCTATATCTCTCAATCCCTGTCTATCCGTCTATCCATCCATCTATCTACCTATCTATCAATCTATCTCTATTTCTATCTAAATCTATCCATTCCCAGACATACTCAGAGCCTGTTTTTATGCCTAAGGAGCTACGACAACTCACAGCCTCCTGGTTTCTAATCCGGCACCTTAACCATGGGACCAAACTGAACATTTGTTGTACAGAACCCCAAATTTCAGATCTTTGGAGGCCACTCCAGAAAGCCTGAAAACATGTACATAGTCCTCATTGAGGGAACTGCAACTCCAATTGATGGCTTGGTCATTAAGCCAAGCCGTTGCTCAGCCAAGCTGTTGCTAAAGGAGGCTTTACAATCCGATTTTGGCTTTCCTGTGCTTGACAGGCCTGTTGTAAACACATTCGCTGCTCGCCAAGTGACTGTTTGTGACAGTCACTAAATGAGGACTACCTTTATATATTCGGGGGGGGGGCTACCAGCCACTGTGGCTTTATCAAACCTCCCTCCCATGTTTCACGCTCTTGCAGTCGATGGGGGCTGGTCCTCGTGGAGCGCCTGGTCTCCCTGTGATGCCTGCCATGGCGTGTCGACGAGGACCCGGGAATGCAACAACCCCCCAGCTCGCTTTGGTGGCGTGGCGTGTCCCAGAGAAGCTCTCCAAAGCCGGCAGTGCCACGACGGAGTCACCCTCTGCGATGGTGAGAAGGAGCATTGGCGGGGGGGGGGAGCGGGAGAGACAGGAGTGGGCTGCAGGCATCCCCCCCACAATCCCATGCCGTGTTGAGGAATGCGGAGAGAAACGTAGCGCATTTCCACCCAATTCAGCGCATGAACAGCCAGCTGACTTGGTCAAGACACGTAGTCCTCGACCGCAGTCGTCTCCTTTTCATGAGCCCATAATCCCTTGCAGGGTGGAGTCTGGGCAGCTGAATGGAGCTAGCAAGAGTGTTTACTGGCCAGATGCCTTTCCTGTTGCCAATGCGGAGTTTTGTTCAGCAGATATATTCTCAGTGTGTCCAGAGAGAAATATTTGCCTCGATTGCGGTCGTAAATCGAGTGGATTGCAGTCGTAGAGTCAAGTCAACTGCAGTCATAAGTCAAATAGTGTGGTATTGTGGCACCCTCGCCTCACAGTTAGAAAGTTATGGTCACCACACGATTCAACTTACAACCGCAATCGAGTACCCAAATTTCTGTTGTTCAGTGAAACATTGGTTAAGCTGAGTGTTTACTGGCCGGATGCCCTTCCTGTCACCAATGCGGAGTTTTATTCAGTAGATATATTCTCAGTGTGTCCAGAGAGAAATATCTGCCTCTACTTAGTACTGAACCCATAACCTCCTGATCGTGAGGCGACAGCGCCACCTCTAGGCCACCACACCACTCGACTTACAACCACAATCGAGCGCCCAATTTTCCATTGTTCTGTGAGAGATTGGTTAAACTGAGTGTTTACTGGCCGGATGCCCTTCCTATTGCCGATGCGAGACTCTACAGGACGACGACGGAGCGCGGCGAGTTGGACACCCATGTTCTAGAACAAACGGTGGTTCGATCTCATTTCAAGTTTTCATCCTTTGCGCGGGGAACTTTGAGGAAAAACTTCCACAATGCACAGAACCTAAACCGGGGATCACCAACCCTTGGACCACAGCAGCCACTACTGGACCGTGACCCGTTTGGAACTGCACCATAGAGCGGTGGGCGAGCATGGATGAGCACGTTCCCACTTGCACGAGTAGCGGGGGTAACGCGTGGGCTTGCACACCATTGGCACGTGTGATGGGCGTGCAGGCACACAGCTCATGCAAGCCCACACACGGGCCTGTTGACTGCATGTGCGGCAACGTCTCCGCTCCCTCCCTGCATGGAACTGTGGCGTAAAGTCTTCAGTTCTGACCCAAATCTGGTTCCAAGAGAGCAAACATGAGACAAAGGTTAACAGCACAACCTTTTAGTGTTTCATGTACGAATCCCATTTCTTCACAGATCAAAGGCTGCTTCTAACGAACGAGCTCTGATGAGGAAGAGCCTGGCCAAGTTTTTGTAAGGCTGCCAAGAACAACAGATAAAGTCCTTAAACAATAAATCAAAGAGTCTCCAAACACCAACTCAAATATTCTAACGTCCACCAGGCTCAAGTATCAAACTTCTTTGCTTCCTGCAAAGAACTCCAGTTTGTCAGTGGGCTTTTATCTCCTCAGGGAGGGGCCATTACCTTGGAGCCTTACTCCCGAGTCGCCCGTGCTGCTGCAGCTGCTCTTTCCTCCGAGCAGCCCTGCGTGCACACGCACTGGGCACAGGCTCCTCGGGGTCCTCTTCCTCACTGCTGCCAGGCTCCACAATCTCCGAAGGCAGCACCCCACTCCCTGATGGTCCTGGCCCCATCCCTGCATCACACACACAGGCCCCTCATCAGAGTCCTCGCTCTCCGATACCTCAGGCGTCTGCACCTGCTGCTGGCGAACCACAACATGTTCATAGTACAAATTGGGAACTGTGACGGAGCAAGGTTCCTCAGCCCCTCGCTTGTGGGGAAGACCGAGAGGAAGGCAAGGTGTCAACTCGTAAAGCATTCCTATACCTGTTTCTGAGTTACCATAAACAAAGCGGGGGGGGGGGGAGGACATCTGAAGGAGCATTACGGCAGTTTAAAACCAGAAGCTCATTCCACACTTATCTTTCCAAGATTGTAGCTAGGCTACCGGATCTTCTGCCCAAGAAAATCCTTCATTGGAGAACGTGATAGATGATACCCAGCCTGAGAACGTATTTAATTGGAGAATCTGATTTATGACACGCCCAGGGGGAAGGGGGGGAAAACAGGGTCACGGGTGACTGTCAATTACGTAGGCCAGAGTTGGCTTCATTTAGGTTCATGCCGGCATGCTGCTCCTTAATAAATCTTCTGAGCTCCTTTATTGATGCCATGGCATGAAAATCCTTCGTTGGTGAGAGATTATGATAAAAATAAAATAACAGACTGTGATAATCAGAATCCACAGAAGGCTTTAATATAAGATATTGCAATATCGGCCCCCAACTTCAAACAACAGTTTATGAGAAAGGAGACACTCCCTTTCCAGTAAATACAGCCTTCTATAGAATTATCACATTGAAGAGATTACATAACACTTCCTGTTTTTCACACGTTGAAGTTACAGAGATTCTCCTAAGAAAGTCCTGGGTGTTTTTCACAACTTCTCCAATGGAAATCCCCCAACTTTCCTCCTCTTCATCATTATCATTAGATTTCCTGTTTTCACTTAAAAGATTACACAGGAGATCATTAATAATGCTATAATGTCAAGGTGACCCCTTACGAATCTCAAATCAAGCCAAGGACGTAATATTTTGCAATCTTATAGAACTTTAGCAATAACAAGTTAATAAGAAGTTATAGGAATGTTCTGATCTCTAGCAGGTCAGGTTAAGAACAAATACGGAGCCTGTCTTGCTCTTTATATTCTTGGGTGTATAAGGTAAATTTTCACATATAACAGTTGGAGAATGGGACTATGACATGCCAGGAAAATCCTACGTTGGAGAATGTGATTGACGACACCCAGCCTGTGAACGTATTTAATTGGAGAATCTGATTTATGACACACCCAGGGAGGAGAGGGGGAAACAGGGCCACAGGTGACTGTCAATTTCGTAGGCCAGAGTTGGCTTCATTTAGGAGAATGCCGGCATGCTGCTCCTAATAAATCTGTTGAATTCTTTTGAAGCTTGGCTTGAGGCTCATGATTTAATTAGGGCAATCGCCGGAATCCTGACACAAGAGGGGGAGATTTGTTAAGGTTAATGTCCCGTGTCTCCTCAGACTGCCGAGGTGGCCAGGTGTCTTACCCCTGTGGCAAGCCATGCCCGCGGACCTGTGAGGACCAGCAGCCTGACGCCGCCTGCGTGGAGAGTCCCAGCTGCCAACATGCTTGCGCCTGCCCGGATGGACAGCTGCTCCAGGATGGCATGTGCGTGGCGCCTTCGCAGTGCCGCTGCAAATACCAGATGCCCTGGCTGGGTGAGTCCACATGCCCCTGGAGAACAACAGGGGATGGAAGCCCCCCCCCCCCCCCCAGCAGTGCCCCCCCCAACCTTTTGAGCCCCAGGAACCGGTTTTGTGGAGAGAGGTTTTGCCATGGACTGGAGGGCGCGTGGTTTTGTGTGCTGCCTGCATCCTGCAGATGGGGGCTTCACTTGTTTGCGTGGCCAGGATTCTGGCATGCCACAGCCCAGTGCCAGTCCATGGACCAGGGATTGGGGACCGCTGCCCCAGAGGGAGGAATAAAGAAATTATGGCTGGTGGCTAGTGGAGCTGGCAGCAGAGTTGGACAGTGAGGAAACTGGGCCAGTCCTGGAGTCTGGGGGAGGCTTGGACAAGGGCTCTGCATCAGAGGCAGAGATGGGGCCAGGGCTGCCCAACAGTTATCAGCTGCCTTCAGAGTCGGAGATCAGTGGGGAAGAAGAACAGCTGAAGCCTGTTCCCAGTGCACGCATGCACAGAGCTGTCAGAAGAAGGGGACAATTACGAACTCAGGGTCGACGCAGGAGTAAAGCCACAGGCAGACATAGGGATTAAAAGAGGAGGGAAAGGGAAGAGGGCTTTTGCAGGAAACAATTCCTTCGTTGCCACAGTGGGAAGATCTGTCTGTGTATCTCAGAGACTCTTGTGCCGAGCCCTTCCTTGTCAGCACTGCGTTTGGAAATAGTTACTTGGCAGCTCTCCAGGCTAGATCAGGGCTGTGCTTCTAATCACACCCTTGAAAGGCTGTTGGCCAGGACTTTGGCGGAAGGCGAATGCCAGAATTTCACCTTTGTTTAATAAAAGGGATTTTGCCGAGACAAAGAGTCGGCTTAGTGCTTTTTTGGGGAAGCCGAGGTCAGAGCCGAAAGGGGGAGGCACTTCTGCAGGCCTCTTTTTTATGAGCAAGACAACCAAGACTGCATTTCCAGTCGACAGTGTCCTGGAGGCGAATGGGGTGCACTTTGGGGTAAGATCTGGGGGGGGGGGTATCCCCAAAGCAGTGGGGCCAATGCTGATCTGGGAGAATGTAGTCAAGAGACAGCAGAGCTGGGAATGTCTGGTGGGCAGGAAGAAAGCAAGGTTGAGTCCCCCCCCAGCAGTTTGCAGCATGAGGGAGGGAGGGAGGGAGGGAGGGAGGGAAGGAAGGAAGGAAGGAAGGGAAAGAAGGAAGGAAGGAAGGAAGGAAAGGAAGGAAAGGAAGGAAAGGAAGGAAAAGAAGGAAAGGAAGGAACTGTGAGGTCCTGGGTGCTCTCTGAGCTGGGTGGTTTCCTTGCAGACGTCTCATGACCCAGCTAGGGAATGTCATCAGTGCAAGAAGGGAGTAAGATTTGTGGTGGGAGGAGGTGGAGGGAGAGGAGGAGGAGGAAGAGGAGGAAGAGGGGCAGGAAAAGGACTGGGGGGTCCTTTGTGCTCTCTGAGCTGGGTGGTTTCCTTGCAGACATCTCATGACCCAGCTAGGGAACTTCATCAGTGCTGGAAGGGAGGGTGCTTTGATCTCTGTTTATATACAACGTCTTTTAGCTCTGGTGATGTTATCTAGTTGGGTCATGAAACATCTGCAAGGAAACGATGAAGCTAAGATTCCTCTCCCTCCTCCTCTCCTTCATCCTCCTCCCCCTCCTCCCACTCCTCCTTCTCTTCTCTGCAAACCCCCCTCCATTCTAGCACTGATAATGTTTAATGTTCCCTACTTGGGTCATGAAATACTTGCAGGAAAACCACCCAGCTCAGAGAGCACCAAAGACCCTCCAGTCCTCCTCCTCCTCCTCCTCCTCCTCCTCCCCCTCCTCCTCTTCCTCCTCCTCCTCCTCCTCCTCCTCTTTCTCCCCCTCCCTTCCACCACTGATGATATTCCCTAGTTGAAGGAAACCACCAAGCTCAGACAGCACCAAGTACAAAGATTCCCCTTTATGAATTCTCAGGGTGTAATCTACAGTTAGAATCTCCACAGACATCGAAAGCTATTGCAGGCAACTGCTTTAGTCTGGCAAGATTCAGTCCTTGGGCACGCAGGAATCGAGCCACTTGCTCGGAAGTAACGCCACGCATCGTTGTTTGGTTCTTTGGGCTCGACGCACGTGTCTCTTGCACGCAGGTGTCCCCGAGGATCGGAACCTCTCCTCCTGGTTGGGACTGCCCAAGTGGGAGGATGCCCAGCCTGGGGAGACCATCCATGCCCCCTGCCAGAACTGGTGAGTGGACGACGGCAGGGAGGGCGTCCAACCGAGCTTTGCTGGGTTTTGCACTTCTTCCGAGATAAAAATCCCTGGCCCGAACCCCTCTCTCTCTCTCCTTCTCAGCACCTGCGTCGATGGGCACCTGCAGTGCCAGGCAGACTCCTGGTGCCGCCTGGACGGCGGGTGGTCCAGCTGGGGACGATGGTCTCCCTGCAGCCAGAGCTGCGGAGAGGGTGTCCGGTACCGTTTCCGGGAATGTAGCAATCCGCCCCCTCAAAATGGAGGCCGGGGATGTGCCGGTGGCGGAGAGCAGCAGAGACCGTGCCAGAATGCAGAAGAATGTCCAGGTGAGTTTGGACCGGTACCGTGTGAGGGAAAGTTCGCCTTTTCTGGAGAGTCCTTGATTTACGAATTGTTCGGCAAGTTTGCTGGATCCAATCTGGATCGGTCCGCCGGAACCGGAGGGTGTCTCCGTCCGAGCTTTCGGACACGTGCTGGAGCCCCCTTCCTCGGGGGAACTTCGCTCGCGCAGAGTGTGCGCTGTTCTGTGGGTGGGATTTAGATGGCACCCCATAGTGGGCGGCTTTTTATTTGTTTGATTGGCGATGTGTGGGGGTGTCTGGCTTTGAAGAGATTTGGCTGTTGTTTTGCTTGCGCTGCCCAGCCCTCGCCTTCTAAGTCCTTGATCGGCTGGTGGGAATTCAGCACTCCTGTTGACTGAGGAGGGGGCCTGTTTCCCAGGCTTCAACCCCACTTCCCTGGCTGTTTTTGAGCCTGTTCAGCCGACAATCTAAGTTGCTGCAAAGTGAAAGGCATGTTCTTGTTCATTGCAGTGTGAGACTACCTGTTTTGACCGAGGCTTCCTGAGACAGTAACAATCGCACGCTGTTCCCAAAATCCTTTTGATTTATTTCAACAAAAGACAAAGAGAGGGAGAGACAGAAAGAGAAAGAAAGATTGAGAAAGAGAGAGAGACATAGAGAGAGAAAGAGAGAGAGAGAGAGAGAGACAGAGAGAGAGAGAGAGAGAGAGAGAGAGAGAGAGAGAGAGAGAGAGAAAGGTGAACAACACACCTGAGGCTGGGTGTTGGCGAGAGGTGGCTGGGAGGGGAGGGGTGAGGAAGGGCCGGGCATGGCAAATCATTTAACAACTGGTTCTCTGCCCTAATGACCGGCTGGGTAGGCGTGGGTGGTGTGTGTGTGTGTGTGTGTGTGATGTGACTGGGTGGGAGTAAGTCATGTCGAGTCGGCCATGGCCACCCAGGGTCTGTGGCTCCCGGTGATTTCTTTTTTTGTGGGAAACGGGTCCAAATGGCTCTTTGAGTGTTTAAGGTTGCAGACCTCTGCCCTGTGGCTTATCTGACACACACACACACCCCAGGTGGGCAGTTAGACTGTCCCCTCAAAACCCACAGCCTGGTGGGAGGGAGGGCAAGTGTACCCTCAGGACCTCCTCTCCCCCCCCCCAAAAAAAATCCACACTGGCCCGGCCCCCCAGGGAAGAGGGTTCGGCATCACACGGCTGCCTTCTGCAGGGAGGTTTCCCGCCAATGTCGTCCTCTTTTCCTTGCTGCCCTCCCTTCAGAGGACGAAGCCTGGGACCCCTGGGACCCCTGGTCCCCCTGCAGCGTCTCCTGTGGCGGGGGAGAGCAGATGCGTAGCCGACGTTGCCGACGTCCAGATTGCCGGGGCCTGTCGTCGCAAAGCAAGACCTGCCACACGCACGTCTGTCTTGGTGAGTCTGCCGGGAGGTGCCCAACCGACGTCCTTCCCAGTTTTGCCCTCTCCGATCCGGCCTCCATCGCACTGTCCGCATCACACACACACCAGGGGGGGGGGGGGGGGGTAATGGGCTGCTACCGGTTCACACCGGTTCAGGTGAACCGGATGTTAATTTTACCGAATCTGCTTTGCCGAACGGCTGGCTGGCCCCGCCCATCCCGGCACTCCCAGGGCCTGCGTGGAGACTTGGGGAGGGTGAAAAACGGGGCCCCCGGAAGTTCGAGAAGGCCAGAAATGGGCCTCGTTTCCTTCCTCCAGGGGGCTTTTGGAGCCCCCCCAATGGTCTCCTCCCCTTTCCTCCTCTCCCCTCCTCTTCTCAATGCCCATGTGTTTGGAGCAGGACAAGACACAACAATGTAGGAGACCCCTCTTCAGATTAACAGGTCATCAGAGTTGGAAGGGACCTTGTAGGTCATCTAGTCCAACCCCTCGCCCAAACAGGAGACCCTACACCATTTCTGACAGGTGGCAGTCCCCTCTGTTCTTGAAGGTCTCAAGTGATGATGCCCCCACAACTTCCGAGGGCAACTTCTGTTCCACGGGTTGTTTATTATTTCCAGGTTGAATCTCTCTCCTTGTTCAGTTTCCATCCATTGCTCCTTGTCTGGACTTCGGGGGCTTTGGAAAATAGCTTGACCTCCTCCTCCTCTCTGTGGAAGCCCCTCAAATATTGGAAGACTGCTATCCTGTCTGGTCCTTTTGATCATTAAAGTCAGATTAAAGTCAGAGTTGGAAGGGACCTTGTAGGTCATCTAGTCCAACCTCCTGCCCTCAAATATTGGAAGGCTGCTCTCCTGTCTCCCCTGGTCCTTCTCTTCCCTAGACTAGCCAGGCCCAGTTCCTGCAACCATTCATCGTATGTTTTATCCTCCAGTCCCCTCATCATCCTGGTTGCTCTTCTCTGCACTTTTTCTACAGTCTCAACATCCTTTCTTATAATGTGGTGACCAAAATTGGATGCAGGACTCTAGGTGTGGTCTTACTAAGGCTTTATAGGGTGGTATTAGTACTTGATTTCATCACCCAACTGTGGGGTCTCTACAGCAGCCGATGGGGCTCTGGGTACTAACCTTCCCCTTCCCCTTTTTGCAGAGGTCGGCTGCCCTGTGGGCCGCCTCTACCGGGAGTGCCTGGCCGAAGAAGGCTGCCCCTATAGCTGCGCCCACCTCACCCATCAGATGGACTGCTTCTCGGATGGCTGCGAGGAAGGGTGCCACTGCCCGGCAGGCACCTACCAGCACAAAGGAGCATGTGTCCAGGTTGGCACCCCTGCCTAGCGGGTTGCTCCGGGGCAGTTCAGAGGCTGGTGTTTCTGTGTGAGGACCACCCAGTGTTGTGGCCCACTGGTGGCTAGCGGAGCTGGTGGCAGACTGGGACAGTGAGGAGGTTGGGGGAGGAACCTGGGCCGGTCCTGGAGTCTGGGGAGGGCTCTGCATTGGAGGCAGAGATGGGGTTGACCGTTATCAGCTGCCTCCGGAGTCGGAGATGAGTGGGGAAGAAGAACAGCCGGAGCCTGTTCCCAGTGTGCACATGCACAGAGCTGCCAGGAGAAGGGAACAGTTAAGGAACAAGGTTCAACTCAGGAGTAAAGCCACAGATGGACGGTGAATGGCCCCTCCCAGAGGGAATAAAGACCAAAAGGGGAGTGGGGTTTGCAGGGGGCAATGAGTTCAATTCATTCGGGTGAAGATCTGTTTCTGACTCCTTGCCAAGTCATTGCTGCTACAGCACAGTGTTCGGAAGCTATCAGCCTGGCAACTCTCCAAGCCTGATAAAGGCCTGTAGTAGTGAACTCTCTTGAAAGACGGTTGGCTGGGACTTTGCAGGAGAGGAATTCACTTTATAACCTAAATAATAGGGGTTTTATTGGGACGAGGAGTCGGCTTTATGATCTTGGGAAGCCTAGGTCGGAACACCCAGGATCTTCTGGTATGTGTGTGTGTGTGTGTGTGTGTGTGTGTGTAGGGCAGAGTAAGAGCAGGGCCTGGTGAGGCAGAGGCTGCCCTGTCCTGGGCACCCCCAAAGCTGCCAGTCTCATTGAAGAGAGAGAGGCAGCTTTGGAAGGATTCTGCTGTGGGACTCTCCTGAGTACTGTGTAGAGAGGCCTGGGAAAGGATCGCCACAATTAGAAGGAAGCGTTTGTAGCTCAGGGTCGAACTGTGAGGGACCTTGGGTCTCTCTGAGCTGGGTGGTTTCCTTGCAGACCTTTCGTGGCCCAACTAGGGAAGG